GGGAGGGGGAGGGAACAGACGTAGGTAGATGGCTGACGGGGGAAGTAGGCATGGCATGGTCGGCCATTGTATGCAATCATCCTATGCTCCTGGCTGTGTGTTGGTGTGCATGGGGTACACGTCCCTCCCACTCTCTCTGTCTGTGCGTGTGTGTGTACATGCCTGTGTGGAGGGGCTGGGGGATTGGCGTGTCGCCAGTGGTCTTACTGTATGTGGTCTGGCTGGGTTGATGGCTGGCATGGCATACCGGTGTAGTGTACATACGTACTCACTTTCTTTATTTCTGAGAGCGAAACGAGGAGGGAGGATCACAGCGGGCAGAGAGGAGCCACCCAAATGGATGGGTATCATAGCTGCTAGCTCTCACAGGAGGGAGGGCTGCCCTGCCAATCACCCATCAATGAGTGGGTGACTGGATGGAACGGACAGACAGACAGAACAAGTCAGCTTTGCCCCAACCACTGACTACTTTTGTATCCATCCATAAGTGTGCATCTCGGTGCCTTCCTGCTTTGTCTGCTTTGTTTGTCCGTGGTGTACGCCCGCTTCGTTGCAGTGAGAGCTGCTGACGGGGCGCACGTCCACTGCTGGCGGACAATGAGCACTCAGAGCACCGCACCCAAGCCGCACATAGAGAAACAAAGACAAGACAGCGAGGCTCGACATTGACGGCATGGTTGTGCAATGTGCTGGCTCAGATGTGCTGACTCGCTGCTTTGCACTGACTACTCTTGACGGTCGGTTCATTGCCATCCGATTGGCCAGTGAATCGGACGTTGACGGCCGTCCGGCGAAAGGCAGGAGCAACACTCACACGAGCCAGGTACCCACAGACAGACAGACAGACAGACAGGGGATGGATAGGGCCCTTCTATGCACAGGTTTTGCCGTCTTCTGCCTGTCTGTGTGGGGGCTTGCGCGTTCGTCCCCTTGACACACACAAACTCTCTCCCTCTCTCGCTCTCTCTGTGGATGCGTGCACAATGGACGGACCCCTCTTTTGTCTTTTGTTTTTGCCGCACTCACTTGCCCCCTCCATGCAAGATGTCGATGTGATGCTGTCCGTCTGCCTGCCTGCCTGCCTGCCTGCGTGCGTGGCTGTCTCGTGAGTGGGGGGAATGTTCATAAATACACTTTTGACTGCGTCTGTCCACCACACACTGTGATGCATGTGAAGTCACCGAGGCGGATGCGGTGGTGCACGGCTCACCTCGGCTGTGCGTCCCTCCATCTGCGGCGGAGGGCTCGCGTGCATCACTGTGGGTTGGGAGGAGAGAGGACAGGTGGCCGCACTGATGTGTATACTCATTCATGAATGTATGAGTGTGGCCGAGAGCAGCATGAGAGAGGCAGCCAGGCCATCGCCTGGGTGCAGGGAACGTGTGCATTGCAATGCCGTCCCCTGCACCTTAGGACTCACTGCAGGTGGACCTGCATAGCCTGCCTGCCTGACTGCCTGCCTGCCTGGCGGCCTTTCTCTATGTCACTTGAATGGATGGATGGATGGATGGACGCCTGCCTTTCATGGCGTTGACTGGCTAAATGTACAGTAAGTATCTGTTAAAGCAATCAGCCCACCCCGATCACATAAGCAATGATGAACAGCATAAACCAATCACCTCGCAAACAGACTCAAATTAGCCATCCGGGCCGACCACTGTGGCTCAAAATGACCGGAAGAGCGAATCCTTGGATAAGTGGATGGCTGGGAGAGGGAGGTACGCTGAGTGGCTTATTGAGAGGCAGAGAGGCATTTAGTCAGCGTGATTGTGGGTTTAATGGCCTGTGGATGTGCTATGGTGGGGGATGACGCGAGAGCGGCACCGAGTGGGTGGGTGGGGTGATGACGGGCTTTCGAATGCGATACCGAACCGACACCTGTTCACGCAGCAAATCATGTTCGCCTTCACCGTCACGATTCGCGAAGGCCACAATTCGTACGCATACAGGCAGGAACACACCAATAAAAGACTGCTCATGGCCAAAAACGAGTGGACAAAACTCCACACGCAAAGGCAGGTAGAGCCACGTGACTAACGCTATCTCGCCTGCTGGTGCTTCAGCCGCTCACCACCTGCACACAGAAACACACACGCACGCACACATACAATGTCCGTCGGAGTGCGCGTGCGCAGGTATGTTGCTTGCACACCTGCCAGATTTCCATCTCATCGCACGTGAAGTTCTGCGACTGCGCCAATGTGCCCTGGTCCTGCTGATTGGTCGTTCCCTTGTATCCCTCCGACAGATCGTCCCTCTTGATCCACTGCTGGCAGCTGCTGAGGTCGGCCGCCGGACCAGGCTGGTCGAATCCCAGCCAGAGATAGCCGCGACCGATGGCCACGTTCCCACACGACTCGCCCTTGCTGTCCTTCACCACTCCCTGTGTGCCGGCCACCCCCACCGTCTGCCTGTCCTCGGATAGCTCGATCTTGGTCGGCGCGTCATACGCACCGGACAGCGAAAAGAAGAAGACGGGCACCTTGTAGTCGTTGGTCTGTGTGGGGTCCTTGGGCGGGTCGAGTGGGCCGTCGACGAAGCACCCGAATCGGTGTGTGTCGCCATCGCGGAGGGCGAAGAGCAGGCCGCTCCTGCCGGTCACCTGGTTGAGGAAGGAGGGATACGCAAATGTGTCACGACTCGATCTGATATCAACACACATGACAGCCATGTCTGTGTGCCCCATCCCCTCTGTATGTGTGGCCTCCTCACTTGTAGATGAGTGTGACTGTGGGTGAGTGTTTGCCGGTCATGTCGATGACTTTGCCCCACTCCTCGGCCGACTTGGCGATGAAGTCGTGGCCATCGGCGGCCGGCAGATTGCAGTACGGCTGGTACCTCAACCCATACATCTCCTGACACACACATGAGAGCAGCCAAACTGCCACCTCGTGTGGACCCGGGCGCGGTGCCGTCACTTACGATGTCCTCTATGAAATGGCGCTCGCCTCCCTCCTCGAGCAGCGGCGGTCGGATCATCTGACTGGCCGGCATGATGGCGATGCGCCGCGAAAACTCCACAGTTGTCACGAAGCACTTGGTAGGCGTCTGACGCACATGACGGTCGGCCCAGCAGGGGGGATTGCTGCACAGACCATGCACAACCCCCAAGCGCCCAATGTGACCTGCTTGTTGTCATATCTGTGTCTGCTCGCTCCTCTTACGTGGCGAAGCGGGTGAGCAGCGGGTGGTTGGGGCCCAGACGACTGAAAGTCTTACGCATCATCGACACCTTGCGGCCAAGGACCATCAGGCTCAGAATCTCGTTCTCGTTCTCGTCAGGGCTGGCGAAGGAGGGCTCCATAGCCTCCAGGAAGCGCTTGATGTCATCCCTGACGCCCTGCAGCTGCTTGATGGCCGTCGAGTGAGTGCGGAGGGACTCCTCGCAGGCCTTCATATACTGCTGGATGGCCTGGTCCTCGCTGCCGGTGGGATCGGCAGTCGATGCTGTGCTGGCCGTGTGGGGTGTGGTGGTCTGCTGGGGTGCCGAGTAGCAGGTGATCTCGCGCATGAAGAGGGCGTGGTAGTCGGCGTAGAGGGGGTCAGCCGCCTTGGGCGGCGGAAATATGCCGGTGACACCTCCAGGTAGATGTGGCCATTCTCATCTCGCGGCAGGCCGTTCGCGTGATGCATCAGGAGGACCGACAGGTACCTGCGCACCATGAAGGGCATCAGCAGGGCTCGCCGACTCACGGGGAACACCACTCCACCTGTGCATATGCACACATCCAGGAAGTGTGTGTCATGCACGAAGCTATTCCTCCCTCTCTGTCCTACGTGCACCTGCCTACCTGCGTTGACATGCACCTCGCTATCGGTGTCTGGGAGCTTCCACACGCCGCCCCGCGCTGACACCATGTCCGAGATCTCATCCGTGATAGCTTTCACATCCCCCTCTGCCTTGGTCTTGAAGTCAACAGCCTGCTGCATGATCTGCTCGTATGAGTTCTGCGAGGTGAGGATCAGTCGATCTGCCATTCCGCAGCCGGATCCGTGTGCTCCGCCTGCCATTCTTCGTTGTTTGGCTAAGTTCCCGGCGCTCGCAGACGGGTCTAGGGTCTCGGGTTTGCAACCCTGAACCGAACCGAGACGACACACAAACGAAAGGAAAGGCAGGCAAAAGCTTCGCCGAGGGCCACCAGAACTAGAGGCAGTGCCGAAAAGCCAACTTTTTTGCTGCCCGGCTTGTGGTGGCGACGTTGGCGCGTTGAGCGAGGCCCGATGCTGAACTATGTGCCAAGGTGAGGCAGCAATGACGCAGAGCAGGCAGATGACGGAGATCTCCCGAGATCTGGCTCAGAAAAGTGTGTGTGTGTGATTGTGCTTCAGGCGGACGCCTGGCGTGAAGCTGCTGTATGGCAAGAGGCCTGTGCAGAGGATAATTGCCGGCCACAGCAAATTCCTCATTGCGGTACGCGACAACAATCTCATTCATCACTTGCGCATCTTGCCTGCTGCCCATCTGTGGCTGCGTGTGTGTGTGCAGATCCCCACCACGACGACAGATAAGATCTACGAGAAGGTGGATGAGTCGGTGTACTATGAGAACAACACATACAACCCGCTGCAGTGGAAGGACTACGTCAAGATCAAGTCAGCAACAACCGGCATAGAGACGGGGAATGGCGTGTGGGATCCTCACTCTGTTTGTGTGCCCTCCTGCCTGTCTGTGTCTGTCTGTCTGTCTGCGTTGGATTCGTTCAGGCTTGATGCCCAGAATTTGATAGAGGCCGACGTCAAGTCGGCTCTGACCAACCTTGACTTCTATCCCAAGGTCAGCCAGCCACACCACACAAGCACCCACGATGATGCGCCTCTCATTGGTGCTGCTGTTGTCTGCCGTTTGCCCTTCTTGTGTCAGATCCAAGGGCTGTATGCCGGCCAGCAGTCGCTGGCAGAGATGGACGCGGCACTCAAGATGTCGGCCAAGCCCCAGTTCAAGTTCCCTCTTGCATCTGGAGGCACCACCAAGTGATCTGATCCGTTCCTGGCTGGGTGGACGAATGGAGACAGGCAGGCAGGCAGATGCGCTGTACGTACGTACGCCTCGCGAAATGCGCGCGAGGCTGATGGACAGATGCTCTGATGGTTTGTTTTGTCCGCCCGAACGGGTTCTGTGAGTGAGTGTAGTTGACTGTCGTGTTCGCTCTGCAAACAATAACGCGTGTGCACACAGCAATGCATGTGATGTGCATCAAAAGACGTGATTGGCATCTCCATGAGTCGCGCCGCCCTCCCTTCAGCTACGGAGACAACCACATTTTTTAAGCTCGTCATCACGTTTCGGAGGCTGCAGGCTGCGCTTCTCTGCATTTGCTTGCTGCTTCCTCTATCATTCAAGCAGTGCAGAAGTCAATTGAATTCCTCTCTCATTCAAGCGACAGACTCTGATGGCACATCGAATCCATTGCCATGACTGTCGGCAGTACCATCACAGCCACACCGGCCCTATGGTACAGGCCAAGCACGTCACGGAAATGAACCAAACATTCAACACCATCGCACGACCGAATAAAAAGGTCTCCACAGCCCTCTTGTATCACTGCATAGACACCAGGGCCTCACGAATACAGCGGCCTCATATCTCGCTCATTTCACCTAGAAAACAATGACGCAACACGCAGAAAGGCGCACACAGTCTCCTGCGCTCCCCTTGCCACTCTATCACTCACCTGCACGTGATAGACTTCCATCTGATCGCACGTGAAGTTGTCCGACTGCGCCAATGTGCCGTCGCCGTCTTTATCCCTTTCCCCCGAGAACCCCGCTGGCAATTGCTCCTTCTTGATCCACTGTTGGCAGCGGCTGAGGTCGGCGGCCGGACCAGGCTGAGCGAAGCCGAGCCAGAGATAGCCCTTGCCGATGGCCACATTGGCGAGTGGCTCGCCGTTGTCGCCCTTCACCTTCACCGCCCCCTGTGTGCCGGCCACTCTCACCCTCTGCCTCTCCTCGTGTATCTCGATCTTGGTCGGCGCGTCATACGCGCCGGACAGCGAAAAGAAGAAGACGGGCACCTTGTAGCCGTTGGTCTTTGCGGGATCAGCAGGCGGTGTAATGGGGCCGTTGATGAAGGCGCCGAATCGGTGTGTGTCGCCATGTCGGAGGGCGAAGAGGAGGCCGCTCTTGCCGGTCACCTTGTTGAGAAAGGAGGGGTACTCAAATGTGTCACGACTGGACCTGATATCAACCCACACACACACAGAAATGTCTGAGTGTCCCAATCGCATTCCCTCTGTGTGTGGCCTCCTCACTTGTAGATGAGTGTGACTGTGGGTGAGGGTTTGCCGGTCATGTCGACGACTTTGCCCCACTCGTCGTCGGTCTCGATGACGAAGCCGCCCCCCGCCACACCGCTGAAGAAGGGCTCGTACTTGAGACCATACATCTCAGTGTCCGTCCGAATCTGTTTGGCGTTGGGGGCCGTCGGCGGCCTCACCAGAGTGCCGGGCGGTACAATGGGTGCGATGCGCTGTCTGCGAGCGAAGTCGGTGACCTTCATGAGATGGTCAGGGCGGACGGAACTCACAGGCGCACCACTGCAGACACAAGAGAAGGAAACAGACATGGCGATTGTGCCTCTCCCGTCCATCTGTTCGGTGTTGTGTTGCTCACCTGTGGAATGTCGTGTAGAGTCGTTTGTCGCGGCCAACACGCGCCAGTGTGGCCTCGGTGGTCGATATGGTCTGCCTCGGTGGTCGATATGGTCTTGCCCAGGACGCGCACGCTCTTGATCTGACCCTCTTCAGCAGCTGATGGCTTGAAGAATGGCGCCCCCATCTTGTGAAATCTCTTGAGCTCCTTCTCAGCTTCGACGAGGTCGGCCATGGCCGCCTCGACGTGGGACGCGCTCGCCTTGATGACGTCGATGGGGTCCTTGCCGTTGATTGCTGCCTCAGACGCGCCGGTCTCCCTTGTAAGATGGCTGCCGAGGGAGGTCTTGGTGTCGAAAAGGAGATGGTGCCAGAAGACGGACGAGCTGTCGGTGCTGTGGTCACCCGTCAGCTTGATCTCGTGGCTCTCGCCCTGGGCATCCGCCACACCGACGCCGGTGATCTCATTGAACAGCCTGACATCAACAGATATGACAGACAATTGTTGTGCGTGAGTTTCGTCTGCACTCCCTCCCTTCTCCCCCCACTCTCGACTGACCATTCCATATACACGGGATCAGCGTCGAGGAATGGCCGGCCCTCTGTGTCCTTCGGCAGCCCATCCAGATGGTGCAGCAGCAGGTATGCGATGAACGAATCGCTCACGCCGGGCAGCAGCAGTGGCTTGCGCGGCACACACAGCACCGTCCCGCCCACGTTGACCTCAATCTCCCCATCTAGCGGCCCGATAGGATTCAGCTGCCCTCCATTGCTCGCGATGAGCTGATTGACGATGTGGGACTGCTTCCTAAGCCAATCCAACATCTGCTTGGTGGCAGCGAAGCCATTGATGCTCGCCGCCAGCCAATGCAAAAATGCACCACCACCTGCAGGTGAGAGGTTCGTCAGCTGGGCTTTGAGTGTCTTGATGGTGTCTTCAGTGTCTTGACAGTTGGCCGTCCCCGGCACGAACAGGTGCACCCACAGCACGCCAGCCAGGCACACACCCGCAAAGATGTACATGGTGGTTGAGAAGCCGATGGCCTCCTTCTGTTCTATCGTCGCTTTGCCGACACTTTGTTGGTCAGTCAGCTCTGACAGCTCCTCTCGCTGCTTGTGGTCCTCGTGCGGCCGAACCTGCGTGTTGTGCGTCGGCCGACAGGCGGCTGCGGTGGGCGAGTCGCTGAACAGGCGAGAGTTGCTGTGAGAGGTGTTGATCAATGAATCAACCCACTGACTGAGCACACAAAAAGAGTAAAGCAGAGAGAGCTGATGCCCCTGGTGGACTGGTGGATGCCGCCGACGAGCTGAGTCCGCACAATCACGACAGCGTCTTCTTCTGCTGCTGCCAGCACGCTGTAAGAAGGGCTGGGTGGGGCCAGACGGACCCATGCACTGCAGGTCTTGGATGGGGAGATCTACGCCCGGATCAGATGGCTCAGCTCTCCAGAAGCGAAATGCTCTATGGCTGAGATATGGAAATGTCAGGCCCTGGCACCACCACCAGCACTGGAGAAGCGATTTCTAAGTGCGAGCTTTGAGTGGATCGCCCGGGCGGCAAACGGGCCTTTCCGTGATGTTTGCGAAGAAGCGTAAGGCGGAGGAGCCGCCGGAGTCGCCTGCGGACGACAGCGATGAGTTTGAGCCGCTCCCGTTCATCGGGAGGGCATCAGTCGACGGGCTGTTGAAGGAGGCCGACGAGGCACTCGCCGCCATCGAGCAGTCGGCCAAACAGATGCGCAAGAAGCTGCGCGAACAACCCAAGACGATTCGAGGGCTCGTGATGAGCAATGGTGGGGTGCCGATGACGGGCCCGTTGAGTGAGGAGATTGAGGTCAACGTGGGCGGGACGGTGCTGCGTGTGCCGCGCAAGCCGCTGCTGCTGCCCGGCGTGAGTGAGAGCATCATCGCCTACCTGCTGCAGTACCACCTGGAGGGGCTGCCGAAGGACAAGGACGGCCGGCCATTCCTCGACGTCGATCCAGTCTACCTGAAGTGGTCAGCCAACCAGCAGAGAGAGGGGGGGAGGGAGGGCACACCAAGCTCACATAGAATGCATGCTGTTGTTTGGCATTGTCAGGTTCCGTGACGAGATCGCCAACGTCGGTGCTGCTGATGCCCAGGGCGAGAGCTACGAGATCAAGCTGACGGGTGACCACAGCACCGACGTGTCATTCGCCTTTTGGCATGAGCTCCTCTTCACTTCCAAGAGCGGCATCGACATCGACATGCCCACAAATCCGCCCCCACACAACGACGATAACGACCAAATGCAGGTGGACAACCAGCAGCAGCAGGCGGGGGAGTCGGCAAGTGAGGAAGAGGGGGAGCCGGCAGGGGAGCCGGCAGGGGAGCAGGAGGGGGGTAGCGACCACATGGCGACACTCAAGAGCAGCATGGCGGGGACGGATGCGTCAGTAGGGCGCCTGGGCGAGGTGCAGCGCGGCCTGGTGAACTTCCACAAGCTCGTCAAGCCGCTGCTGGCGATGAAGGAGGGGGACAGGGAGGGGAGGGAGAGATCAAGAGCGTGTGCGTCCTGGGTGAGACGGTTTCGACCACCGAGGCCACACTGGCGCGTGTTGGCCGCGACAAACGACTCTACACGACGTTCCACAGGTGGGTCACACAACACCGAACAGATGGACGGGAGAGGCACAATCGCCATGTCTGTTTCCTTCTCTTGTGTCTGCAGTGGTGCGCCTGTGAGTTCCATCTCGCCTTCGCATCTCATGAAGGTCACCGACTTCGCCCGCAGACAGCGCATTGCAGTCATCGCACCGCCCGGCACTCTGGTGAGGCCGCCGACGGCCCCCAACGCCAAGCAGATTCGAACGGACACTGAGATGTATGGTCTCAAGTACGAGCCCTTCTTCAGCGGCGTGGCGGGGGGCGACTTCGTCATCGAGACCGACGACGAGATGGCGGAGCTGCTCAACATGACCGGCAAGACCTCACCAATGCCGTCACTCATGTACAAGTGAGCGAGCCACACACAGTCAGACAGCAGCGAGAGGGTCCCTGGAAGATCTGCCTTCGGATGTCTGTGTGTCTGTTGTGTGTGGTCCATCAGGGGCAGTCGCGACACGTATGCCTTCCTCAAGATGCTCGAGTGCGTCCAGGGCAAGAGCGGCCTGCTCTTCGCCATCAAGCAGGGCGACACACACCGATTCGGATGCTTCATCGACGGCCCTCTCGACCCGCCCAAGGACCCACACAGACCAACACATACAAGGCGCCCGTCTTCTTCTTTTCGCTGTCGGGCACGTACGATGCGCCGACCAAGATCGAGCTGTCGGAGGACAGGCAGCGGGTGTGGGTGGCCGGCACCCAGGGCGCGGTGACCGACACCGAGGACAAGCCGCTCGCCAATGTGGGCATCGGTGGCGGTGCAGCAGCTCTGTGGCTTGGGTTGGACGAGCCTGGTCCGGCGGCCGACCTCAGCAGCTGCCAGCAGTGGATCAAGAGGGATGAGCTGTCGGAGGGATACACGGGGACGATCAATCACCATGACCAGGGGACTTTGGCGAAGTCCATGGACTTCACGTGCGATGAGATGGAAATCTGGCAGGTGGGTGGCCGTCACCACACCCTCATCTGTGGGGAAGTGTCGAGCTGCGTGTCTGTGGCTGGATGGATGGACGTGCAGATTGCCACCGGCTGACCATACCTAACGTCGACCCACCACGAGAGCGTGCAGCAGGTATGCAAAACAGCAAGGCACTCGTGACTGACAGTGATACCCTCACTGTTTCCTGTGTGTCTGTGGTGGTGTGGTGCAGTTGGTGGATGTGTTGAGGTGATCGCACAGAGCAGAGTAGAGGCCCCAGATGTCGTGTGCCACACAGTGACGGACTGACTGTATTTGCCTGCCTGTCTACGTCGCATGAGCTGACGACCCATTCATTCGTTCATTCGTGCCGTGTCATGATGGCATAAATGTCTGTCTGTCTGTCTATCTGGCCATCAACCCATGTGCAGCCATCCAACTATCCACCCCTCGACTCATTGATTTGTGGACGGTGTGGCGTGTCACACGTGCATGCATGCAATGATGGTTGACCTGTACACACACATGAGGCGTCCACCGACATCCATCCATCCATCCATTCATCCATGGAGTCATTGACGCACCAGCCACAGCCCCCTCTCGCCCTCACGGTCCAACTGGGGCCCATTCATCGGTAATACATACATGTATATCTCTGTGTACACACACTTCACACACGTTCATATCGGTCATGCCCTCCCCTCCAACTCAAGAATCTGCATCCACCACACGCACGTCGCGTCAGCTCGCCTCGCCCGCCTACACGCCGCACAAAACACGACATCCACACCGACACAGAGAGATGAATGAGGGAGCACACATCTCACCCAGCTCTGACAGGCACCCACCTTCATTGCTAAGTTGCCTGTTCCTTTTGGTTGAGCGCCATGTCTGCGATTGGGTTGCCCAGCAGGCTTCGCACAAGAGGGGCGGTAGTCGGCCGACGGTCCTTGGAGGCATCAGATGCACCACCCACTGGCGGCTCAGTGGTGATGACACTAACACCCACTGCATTCAGCGACACAGCACACGTCAAACAATGGCTCAATCATCAGCACAGAGGACCTGCTATCACTTTCTCACCTATGGTCGTGTCGGCACTGCTGCCGAGAACGACCCATGCGATGAATGGCATGTCGAACGACGTCAGCAGCAGAATGCGACCCTCTAGAGGGGGATTCATATCGTCATACCTGAACGCCACGACGGCTGTGCATCGGTTGGGCGGCTGGTGGGGCGAGCGGTTCAGGAGCCCGCTCAGCACACCACCGTGAGCATACCTAAAGAACCACACAGAGAGCAGATACCCATTCGGATGGATGTCTGTCGGTGTGTCCTGTGTACCGGTCCACGTGAACCCAAGGAGTTTTGGCCCGATGCGCCACTGGAGACCCCAACATGATTTTTTCCATGATGAACGCCGACGCCGATGCATAAGTGACCATCTCACTATCGGCTGTCCAGCTGCCCGGCAGCAGGCGGATTCGCGATCTGACGGGTGGGTTGTTGTTGATCATGTGAGGGTGGTATGGGTGGGTGGGGGGGAGGGGGGGGCTGATGGTCAGCTCGAAGCCCGGCTCGTCGCGCAGGGCGCGCACACCGCCGCCCTGCTGGTCGAACAGCTCAAAACGGCCGCAGTTGCCGCCGAAGTTGACCTGCCGACCGATCATCTTCCACAGCGCCACCACACGCGGCTCAGCCAAATACGCCTGCAACAACAGACACACAACACAGCTATGGAGCCATCCCTCCCGCCTCTCCCCTCTCAGTCCCACCCACCTGTTTGGTCGTGTGCCTCTGGATGTCCTGCACGCTCATAGTCACCGGCAGAGTGCAGCAGCCGCGCTGCTCCGCCAACTTCAGCGCGTTGACCACCTCGGTCCACTGCTGCGTGTCCACCAGCCAGATGGCCTTCAGCAGCAGAGGGCGGTCCAGCTGAGCGTCGAATGCGATGATGGTGTGCAATCCCTTGGCCATGAGGCAGCGATTGAGTCGGGTACGGAGGATGTACGGCGAGAAGTCGACTTCCCAGAGGAAATGCGCCGTAGCTCTGAGGCTGCCGACCTCAAACCGGCTGCACACACACACAGCATACACACAACCAAGTGCGCTCATGGAGCTCTTTAATCGCCGGGTGCTTGTGCTTCGCATACGTGTGGAGGGCGTCCCTGTCGGCTTTGTGGAGGAAATCAAGTGACTCGTCATTGATGGTGACGCCAGATCTGTCCGCAGTGTGGTAATTGCCCATCTTCCGCGACTCGCTCGTGGATGAAATCCGTTGCTCTGTCACATGGGAGGGAAGGGCGTGCCGCTCCCCCCTTTGCGACCCCTTTTTCCTTTTTTTCCTTTCCTGCGAGTTGCCTGCGAGCTTTTGCTCCGATCGCAGGCGGTGAGTGGATAGGTCCGAGCCCTTGCGTACGTCCCTTTCGCCCTCTCTGCAGCCAGACCGCTGCTTTTCGGAGGAGTCCGCCGCCATTGAAGCCGTTTCTGTCTCTTTTCACGCCCAACACAGCTCCAGAGGGGGGCAGCGGGAGCCACCAGCCTCACAGCAGAGAGTCGTGCAGGCATCGCATAGCCCGCCAACCGATCATCGCCAGCACCATTATCAATCAATGAACGGCAGTCCTGACAACGACAGGAGCACAGGTGGACAAGGAGGGCTCAGCGTGGCCAAGCAGCCCTTCGAGGAGTGGCAGTGGAAGGCCATCGAGGCGGGCGACTGGCAGCTGCTCGAGAAATTCGAACCCGAGAGCACCTCATATGACCAGGTATGACCGTACCAACACAAGCAAAGCATGACAGACAGGTGTGTGGGCTCGTTCATGTGTGTGTGTGTGTGTTGTTTTAGACGAGCGAGAGCTATGGGACGCCTCTGATCAGCATATTGGACAAGTATGTGTTCAAGGCGACGCATCACGAGAAGGAGAAGTTCGTCGAGTGCATCCGGTGGCTTATCAGAAAGGGAGGTAACCAACCAACAAACCAATGCATTCACACGCACACGCACAGGCAGTGCCAGTGAGTGCCAACGTGTGTGTGTGTGCTACGCCTGCCTGCAGCGAGTCCGTTGACCAAGGCGCCCGACAGCTGTTCGATGCAGATATCTTACCAGAAGCGGGACGACTCTGAGGACAAAACCAAACGGGTTTACGTCTCCAAAAAGAACGCCATACAGGTCAGCACGCGTCAGCCACTGACGGGCGCGCGCCATGCATTCGTTCGTTCGTTTGGATGCATGTGTGCTTTGTGTGTGACAGGTCGGTTACGAGGTCCGCGATTCCCTGCCGGCCACCCCTTCGTGGCAAGAGGTACGTGTGTAGGCAGCAGGCACGGACAGTCATTTTGGGCCACTGACGCGCTGTGCGTTGGTCTGTCAGGAGCGGATGCGTGTCAAGCAGGTCATCCAGATCTTCGCTGAGAACTCTCAAGTGGTCAGCACACACACACACACACAGAGAGAGAGAGAGAGAGGCGTCGCTCACCGATGCAGTCAGTCACTGTATATCCGCCTGTCTGTCTGTGTGTTCGTTCAGTCGCACTGGGAGAGGATTGAAGTTGACGAGAAGGTACATCCATCCACGCACTGCACACATTAGTACATTAGCCAACACGTGCGGCACGGCATGCACCTGTCCCTTCCCCTGTGCTCCTGGGGAACCCCGTTTGTTCGTCAGGTGGTTAATTTTTGGGAGAAGGTATTTCATGACAAGAGCACCGCTGACGTGGAGGTGAAGCTTAAGGGCGGTGTCACCGTCCAGTGCCACTCGTGCATTCTGCGGGTCTGCTCCGACGTGGTCAGCCAGACACACACACAGAACAACCAACATGACTGACGGCAGCCAGTCCATCCATCCATCCATCCGTTGGCCACTTGTCTGTCTCTGTGTGTTGCTGTTGGCTGGGTGGGTGGGTGTAGTTCAACGCCATGTTCACTCACGAGATGCTGGAGAAGGAAACCAAAAAGATAGAGGTCAGTCACAGTCAACGCACCCGCCCCTCCATCCATGCATCCATCCATGCATCCTTCATTTTACGTCCCGCAGGCTCCCACAGTGGATGCGGTTGAGTTCGAGCAGTTCCTCTCGCTGCTGTACACCGGTACGACTGTGGGTGGGTACTGGACACATTTACTGCACTGACGACTGACTCATCTCTCTCCTATCACCAGGTTGCTGGAGCGGCAAGGGCGACGAGGACACGGCGGGCAGTGCCAACATCAGCAGCACATCGCCAGGCGGCATCAGGAGCGGACCCGCAGCAGCTGCGGCAGCAGCCGCAGCAGCAGCCGCCCCGCCGCCCAATCAGTCCACCACCACCACTGTGTCGTCCAACAACAACCCCGCCCCGATGGCCCCCAGCCCCAACACACAGCACAGTGCCGGCAGCCCGTTTGCTGCCGGGAGTGGGGTCAGTGGCGGCGGCGGTGGGGGCGGGACGCCATCGGTGGACCAGTTGCTGTCGCTGTTCACGCTGGTAGATACGTACCAAGTGACACATATGCAGGTGAGAGGGGGAGGAAGGGACGGTGGTGGGAGGGTGAGAGAGTGTGGCCATGCATCGCATCCATCTCCTGTCTGTCTGTCTGTCTGTCTGTCTGTTGGTGGCTGTCGTGTTGTGTGTGCAATGCAGTCGATGTTGCAGGCGCGCATTAAGGACCGGCTAACGCCAAATACCTTCGAGAAGATCATGAAGTTCGCTCTCAAGTGAGACACACAGACATGACAGACACCCAACGGCCACTCAGCGTACGACCTTGAGCACATCCGTGTTTTGTCTTGTCACTTCAGGTCTCACTGTCCGCCTCTGCGCGTCGCCTGTGGCACCTACGCGCAATCGAGCGAAGAGATCAAGGTCAGCACCCTCCCTCATCCAAACACACACACCGGCCGCTCCGCTCGCTTAGCATCAGTCATTTCCTCTGTCCGTCTGTGTGGCTGGCTGTGTGTGTGGGTGTGTTAAATTAAAACAGCAAAACTACTTTGCTGATCGTTATTGCGAGGAGGTGCAGGAGGAGCTGCATTTGGTCTTCAGGAACCCCGCCAGCTCAGGACACCCGGCCAAGAAGCGCAAGAGGAACGCATTCTGATCCATCCGACACACACGGTGCGATGACGCGGACCCTTCCATGCACACACACACATACACATACATGAGGGGGGTCGACAGTGGTACACACACAAACATCCACACACACTCCTCTCGTGAGTGTATGTGCACGGTTCTTCGCCTCAGTAATGGGTGGTTAATGCATGGTCGTCGATATGGAGCGGCTTGGCTGCATCACACTCCCACCGCACACAGACGCACACGGACAGTCGCTCGCTTTGTCGGCTGTGTGGACACATCCTATGCTGTCGTCTCTTCTTTTTTCGGTTTGGGGCTAGCTGGGACGATGGGCGGTCCGGTAGATCGATGGGGTGCGTGGCAGTGGAGTGCATTTGTTTGTACGGTTGACATGCCATTGGATGGCTGACACGCAGAGCTTTCTGCTGTGCCCTGCGTGTAGTGCTCGACTGACGGGACAGAGAATGGACGAGTGAATGAATGAACGAAATGGCCACTTGCGAAGCTTGGAAGGCCCTATCTCACTCATCCTGGGGGCATGTGTGGGCTACCTACAATTCTTCGGGAGAAAGCACAAGAGAGCCTTTAAGGCTGACCGCATCCGAATGCCAATGCTGGCCCTTCAGTGTCCCTTTCAGCCGCCGCTTCCAGCCTCTTCTCTCGTTGGTTGGTTCCCGTCTCTCCCGGCCTCCTCTTGACGACGGGCATTGCAGATGCCGCTGCCGGCCCTCCTGCAGGCGAGCGCAGCAAGCAAGAGGTGTGCACCACCTCCCGCGTCACCGAACTCGGCTTCTTTGCAGTCAGGCATACAAACAACTTCGTGAGAAGGAGCCAACGAGATGAATTGTTTGTGCAGGCGTCGCCGGACGGTGAGAAGCGCACCGATGCCACTGACAGTCTGAGAGCATACGCCGACATCCTGCCCTTTCCTGCAGGCGGCTGCACGGCGAATTACAGACTCGGCGAGAATTTCTCGACGACGAAGACGGAGACAGTCCTGAAACCCACAAACCCTGATTTCTTTCGTTTTTCCATTCTTCTCAGCATTTCCGCGGCTTTCCTCTTCTCCTCCATTCTCAGGGCCACCGATCCTTTGTTTCTTCGTCTTTTGGGCTGGTTCTTGTCTTGTGTGGCTCGCCTCGACCTCTCCCAAGCCCCCCCACTCGAGCGGACGTCGGGCGCCACTTCTTTATTCCGCCCTCTAGCCACAGGGAGGCCTCAACCAGTGGTGCCCGGCTGCAACTTCCTGTCCCCGCCGGCACCGATCGGAGGGCCCAATCCTGTGGCGCCACCACGCTCGCAGAGCTGGAGACAGCACCCGCCGAGGCGCTGAGCCGCACCAACCTCGCCGACCAGAACCCCCTGGGTTCTATGAGGGCATGCAGCGCCCGCTCGATGTCTGCTGACCGGCGACGTGCACACATACGTACGAGCAGTCAAGATCATCGAACGGGGTGTGGCGGAATTACCCTCACAGATTCTACACAACCTCCTGAAGTGAGTTTGGCTGTGGGTGTGGGTGTGGTGTGGCGTGGGTGTCTGCGGGTGCATGTCTGCTGTGTGTGTGATGTTGGGTGTGTGACTCAGTGGGCCCACAGAGTCCGTGTACCAACAGCGCGTCAAACAGATGCGGGCGGGCAAGGTTCCTGGGGCGGACTTATGTGTGTGTGTCTGCTGGTTTTTCGGCGTGTGTTGTGTGCAGCGAGCTGTTGTACACAGGGCAGACGAATCAGGGGCTGCATCGGTTCATAGAGTACCTCAAGTGGGGGCGGCGCGGAGTGAGGGCACAACACGAGCCGAGCCACACCACAACGGGTATACAATCACATTCACACAACACGTTACCCGCAGCAGCTGACAGCGCCAGACGGTGTGTGTGTGTGTGTGTGTGCGCTGGTGTGTCTGGGTGTGCGTGTTGTGTGGCTTTCTGTTCAGGAGCGGAGCACTGCTCGTTGCGCCTGACGATGGGTGTGCCTCGCATAAGATCATCGCAACATACCCGCATTCAGGTGTGTCGCACACACACACACCTGAATGCCGTCTGTGTTGTGTGGACAGAGTTTGGCAAGCCCATGGCGCTGTACTTGAAGAATTTGCACGAGTTCGTCTCTTCTCTCGAGGTATTCACTGAGTCCAGCGTGCCGAAACTCTCCTTCAATCAGTTGGTTGGTGAGGGCAGCACACAAATACCCCACACACACACCTCGGCACGTCGGATGCGTTAGCACCCATCTCGATCAATGTGTGGTATGTGTGTGTCACAGGGGGCTTCCCCAAACCCTCGGAGGTCCCACGAGGGGTCGTCTGCGCAGTGCTGTGTACGAAGGACTCCAACAAAATCATCGAGAGAATCCATGAGCTGCAGCCACGTGAGTTTCCCTGTTGCATGAGGGCAAGACCGCCTCACACCTCTGACACATGATGGGTATGTGCCTGTGTGTGTGTGTGTGGTATGTGTCGAGCAGAGTGGAAATTGAGGACGCCTTCACCGCCTTGTAAGCCAACACGCACACCTCACTGACACACCACACACACACCTTCCATGTATTTGTCTCTGTCTGCCTTGTCATCCAGTGTCAAGCAGGCTGGTTCGAGCGTTCGTGGTCGTCGGAGGGCCGTCACGAGCGGAGCGTCCCGGCGGTGGAGGGCCGCTTCATCAGCGAGGCGGGCCTCAGCCGCGAACGCTTCGACTTGATGTAAGTGGGCGGCAGTCTTATCGCTGCCTTCATTTTATATTTCGAAGCTTTCCTTTGTCTTTGCGGCTGTTCGACGACTCGCCCATCATCGCCCACACCATCAAAAGCGACGGGTGCCTGCTCTCTCTGCCGCTCGACGAGGAGCGTGGCTGGGGCGTGTCGGTGTACCCCTTGCTCAACAAAGGCATGTTCGGTGGCATGAGCCGCAGACGAGGCCACGCACTGCGGCATCGTCATCGGCACACTCGAGGGCCTCATCAACGGTTTGGGTCACGTCGGCTAAGTAAGTAAGTGCGGATCCGATCGCATGTTCATCCATCCATCCATGCATCCAAGGTGTGTGGTGTGTTGTGGTGTGGTGTGGTGGGTGTGTTATGCAGCCGCGCGTCTCGGTTGGTGTGTTTGTCGAGTGGGAGCGGACGCTCAAGGACTGCGAGCGAGAGATCATCACGAAACTGGCGCCAGGGGTCAAGAAGGTCAGGACTGGTCACGTGTTCCCTTTTCTGCGTCTTCTTATCGCTGCATTCATCTTATATTTCGAAGCTTCCCTTTGTCTTTGATCGCTGAACCAACGAAGGACTGCTTGTTTGTTGTGATGAAAGTCCTGACTCACTGCAGCCGTGCGTGTGATCGATCATGACGGAAATGTGTGGATGAAACTGAGCTCGATATTCAGGACAGAAAGAGAAGCTCAGCAATGGTCAATGGTCATGTTCCGCACGCACATTCAGTCAGCACAAAAAGGTGCGAGGAGGTCCATTGGGCTGCACGAATGGTTTTGCCAGCACAAAACCAATACACTCGACAGGTGGACACCACAAAAACGCATCAAAACAAAAGACGCTGCGGCATCGTTCTTCGTCCTTCACCTGACCACACACATACACACACACCCATGCATATCACATGACGACGGTTGCACACAACATTCCCGTCCTTCCGCCTCACCTGCGCATATGCCACACCTCCAATTCCTTGCAGGTGAAACGGAGCTTCTTGTTGGCGAGAGTCCCCCGGTCCTGGTGATTGGTCTGCCCCTTGTATCCATCGGGCAGCTCGTCCCTCCCGAGCCACTGCTGGCAGCTGCTGAGGTCGGCCGCTGGACCAGGCACGGCGAAGCCCAGCCACAGAGCTGCTGCACCGCCACCGATGCCCACATTGGCGAGCGGTTCGTCCTCGGTGTCCTTCACCACTCCCTGTGTGCCGGCCAAATTCACCCACTGACTGTCCTCCGGCATCTCGATCTTGGTCGGCGCGTCATACGCGCCGGACAGCGAAAAGAAGAAGACGGGCGCCTTGTAGCAGTTGGTCTCTGTGGGGTCAGCAGGTGGTGTGAGTGGGCCATCGATGAAGGCCCCGAAGCGGTGTGTGTCACCATCTCGGAGGGCAAACAGCAGGCCGCTCTTGCCGTTTACCTTCTGCAGGAAAGGGCCATACGCGAACGTATCACGACTCGACCTGACCAACAAACACACACCAGGATGGGTAATGGCTGAGTGCCCATCCCCCTCTATCTGTGAGGCTCTCTTACTTGTAGACCAGTGTAGGCGTGGCTGCATTCTTGCCGGTCATGGCGACCACCCTGCCCCACTCCTCGGCTGACTTGGCGACGTACTCATGGCCGTCGGCAGGCCGGCGGCAGTAGGGCTGATACTTGAAACCATACATCTCCTGACACACATACGGCAACAGCCACACATGCATGACCCCACACACGCACAACCATGAAGAGCTGCTCCCGGGTGGTGAATCGTCACTGCTGTTCGCCTCACCGTGTCCTCAATGAAGTGGCGCATCTTCCCTTGCTCGACCAGTGGAGGACGGATGAGCTGTCCGGGGGGCAGTGTGGCGATGCGACGGGCAAAGTCCACGATCTTGACGAAATGCCTTGCCGGTGTCTTGTCGACCTGACGGCCGTCCCAGCAGGGCGGAGTCCTGATAAGACAAAAACAGTCAAGAAACCCGTGAAAACCAATTCCAGCCTCCCGTGGCCTTGTATGACATTGTCTCGTACGTGGAGAAGCGTGTGAGAAGGGGGTGGTCCGGCCCCAGCCGCATCAACGTTTTGCGCATCACCGACACGGGGCGGCCCACGTTGTCCGTCAGAGTCAGCACCTGACTCTCGCCGCCGTCTTGACTGGCGAAGAACGGCTCCATGGCCGTCAGGAACCGCTTGATCTCGTCACGCACCAGCTCCAGTCCCTTGTAAGCCTTGGCGTGTGTACGAAGGGCATATTCGTATGCCCTCACTGACCGCTGGATGGCCGTGTCCACATCATCTGTCGCACCCCCGCTCTCGCCATCGCCTCCCCCGCCGTCGGAATCTGCCGTCGGCTCCACACTGGCACTGGCGGCAGCCGGCCCCGCGTGGCTGTAGCAGTGGATCTCTTGCATGAAGAGGGCGTGATAGTCGCTCGATGAGGGGTCGGCGCGCTTGCTGGACACATGCAGCTCGACGCGGTTGGTGCGGCCCGTCTTGTAGAGCGTCAGCTCGTCCAGGAAGGCCTCGAAATATGCCGGTGAGACCTCCAGGTAGACGCGGCCATTCTCATCTCGCGGCAGGCCGTTCGCGTGATGCATCAGCAGGACAGAGATGTACTTGCGCACCATGGCGGGCATCAGCAAGGCTTGACGACTGACGGGGAACACGGTGCCACCTGTTGTTTGCGAAAGGGCACACAGAGAGGGCGCAGTGATGAGTGCATCCCTCTATTCCTTTGTCTGTGTGTGCTGTGTACCTACCTGCATTGACTTGGATCTCGCCGTCGGTCTCATCAAGCTTCCACACGCCGCCCCGGGCTGACACCATGCCCGAGATCTCGTCGGTGATGGCCTTCACATCGCTTCCCGCCTTGGTTGTGTCAGCGATGGCCTGCTGTGTGACTCTATTGAGTGAGTCAGAAGAGGTGCGAACGAGACGGTCAGCCTTCTCACAGCCCAAAAGGCTGCTCATGATGCCCAGATCTCCTCGCCGTTTTGAGCCATGCGAGCTTAAAACGTTTCATCGCGCTGCCTGTCAGTTTCCCTCCCCCACGATTCATCGCAATGATGAGCGCTCCTGACCACTACGAGCATCCTCGCGAACTCTCGAGTGCTCTTCTCCTCTCTCTCCCCACCTTTGTAGCGCCCCCAAATGCCTTTCGTCGCTACGCCGATCAGCTACAAGTGGAACTTCTCGACAGAGTCAGGCTCCTGGACAGCATCAAGGTGGCAGTGCCAAGTGCATGCGATAGAACGAATTCACTTGATCGGCAACCCATGAAAATGTCTCCTGATTTGTCGATTGTCGTGCAGGTTGCGGACTTGGAGCGTGGTCACTTTCACGTGACTCTGGCCGACACACAGGGGCCGCTGACTCTGGCCATCACCACCGACACGCACACACTCTTGACTCTCTCGCTCTGGGCGGGCGGCACTACTCTTCTGGGCCTCTCGTCGCCATTTGGGGCGGCCGGTGCTGCAATGGGTCATTCGAGGCCGTTTCGCTTCAAGTTGGCAGATCATGTGAAGGATGGATGGCTGTGCGTGCGGGAAGGGCAGCACGACGTTGCAGTCACGGACGAATCACTCAAGGCAGACGCAAGTGGTGAGTGAGTGAGTGGGAGACATTCGGCCACGCAGCCTGTTCATTCACTGGTGTCTCTTGTTAGCAGCAGCAGCCCCTGGCGGCGACAACGATGGCTTTCGCATTCACATGCTAATGGCGGTGTTGCCGTCTTCGAAGGTATGTCTCTTTGTGTGGCTATCCATTGACCAAGGTATATGTGCGCTTGTGGATACAGCTGTCAAAGCACAGGATGAGATATTGCATCGAGGAGTTCAAGAACATATCCATTCAGGTGCGGCACACATGCATATGTACGTACGATCTGATGCGTGATATCGACTTTTGTCTGTCCGATTGGTATTCAGGCGCGTACCAGTGACCTAATCAAGGGTCTCACCCAGGTGAGACACTCATATCTGTTCACTCAATAGGCAGACATGTCTGTGTTCTGTCTCCTTGAATCATTCAGCCCATCTTTGACTCCCTCTCCCCTGTCCGCACCGGTGCCACCGGGCGCACATACAGCTCCCTCAGCATCAACAGCTTTCTGCCGCCGTCCTTTCCGCCTTCTCGAGAAGCATCACCCACATCTCGAAGTGAAACTATTTCCATGCTGTCAGTACCATCTGTGCCCGAGGCGCCTGCCGCTGAGGAGGAGGAGGAGGAGGAGGAGGAGGAGGAGAAGGAGGAGACGGCCGTAGACGCATCGCCTTACAGCCATGTGGTCGCTGTTGGTGGGCCGCGGACGGAGGCCAGCCCCAGGACAACACACACGAAGCCTTCGGTCGATATCGATGTTGCTAGAGGGATGGCTGAAATGCCCTCGCCGACAACGAAGGGTTTCATCCAGCGAGGCAAGATTGAGACACCCATCGAGCTGCCATCCTACGGCAAACAATACAGCAGAAAAGTCGATCATCCGAAGACGGATACGCGCTTGGCCGAGCTGTATACGCCACCAAGGCCTGCGGCTGAGATACCGACAGCTGGCATCTCGCCGCCACCGTCACCTCCCCCGAAGAAAGGGATCGGTCTGTCCTATGCCAAAACGAGCAAGCCAAAGGGACCAAGCTTAGCGGCCGCCAAGACAGCAGAGATCAGCACTACTCGAACTTCTCGACACAAGCAGCCTATCGACGAGAGAAGATCGACCCTCCCGAAGATGAGTAAAAGCAACCGCATGTCCGGGTCTTCGACAAGACACGGTTCCTCTTCGCGGCCACCCTCCCCTGAGGCCCCTCCAGCTAGAGGAGGTGAGGCTATCTCGACAGCCCCAGGCAGCCAGACGAGACGATCAGGTGAACGCCTGCACGAGACAGCAGCACCAATTGCTGAGGTCGAGAACCCCCTTGTCGCGTACTGCATTAGCCGGACATCTCGCGGCAGGTCCAGCTCGGCTCTCTTGTCTACCGATAATAAGCGAATGGCGGCGAGAACCGCCGACCTCCCACAATCGCCCTCGCCTCTGTCGTCGACTGATGGGAAGCAAATGGCCACGACAAGTCAGCAGCTCTATGATGGCAGCCATGGCAGTGGGAATGTGTCCCTCCCTAAGCGGCAGCGTGACGCATACGACGAGCAAAAGGACGGCAGCTGTAGCATGGCAGATCGACTGGAAGAGGCGGCCTTTGATGAACAGGAGCAGCTGAGAAGGCAGCTGGCACAGCTTCAACAGCAGCTGACCTCAGTCGAACACCGTGCACAGAAGACGGAAAACCAATGTGAAGCCCTCCGCTACGGCCTTGTCCGCCAGGCAAAGCACTCAGCCCTCCAACACGACAACGATCGCACACAACTGACGTTGTTGGAGAGCCAGGCGGGCGAAGTGCGGTTGAATGCCGCCATGTGGCAGAGAGAGGCCGAGAGGCTGCGGGGGGTAGAGAGAAGGCAAGAGACACTCGAGCAGGAGCTCAGCGGACTGAAAAGAGAGTATGTCGATGTGCAGAAACGGCTGGAAGAGGTGAGACATCCACCCATTACTTGCATGATTGATTGGCACTGTGTCTCTTTCTGTATGTGGCAGAGCTTTGAGGAGAATGCTCGCCTGAGGGAGGCCAACAGCCGCCTGTATGAGATCAACGACGAGCTCTGTCTTATGATGCAAGAGATGCCGAGAGACAGACCGCAATCGCGGCCACCAGAGCGTACGCATCATCCAAAAAGGGCGAGAAGCCGGTCCCCGGCGGCAAGCGATGGGAGCCCTCGTGCACGATCCGTCGGCCCGCTCCCTTCACACTCATCTTTCATTCCCGTAAGCTCGTCTACTCGTGGAGTGACGGATCGCATCGACTGGCTGCTGCACCAGCACCTGAACGACCACCCGCACCTCATGGTGAGATCAGAGAAAAATACCATCCTCCATCATTGCCTCATGGATGCTGTTGATGTCTCGCAGAATTGCTTCCGTCGACTGGATGAGGGAGTCTACTCGTACGCGAACCTTATCACATGAGTGGCTCACGTCTCTATCCGTGTGTGTCTCCTTTTCCTTGTTTGCAGTTATTGTGGTAAGGCGGTCACAGCGCGCATCGCCAACGGACAGCTCGTCTTCCGTGTCGGCGGAGGGTACCTCTCGTTCGACAGCTATATCACAGCACACACCCCTCACCCCGCATACCTATGCCCCTTCCTCCGACTTCACCCACAGCCCCGCGTAACGCCCCGTCTCAAACGGATCGACCATCCTGTGACCCCGACCTGTGACCCACTTGATCTGGATTGGGTGCATGAGCGGCCTCCGGATCAGATATGCATGGGTACCAGGTGGACGGAGAGCTTGCGATCGCGAGTGGTTGGCGTGGATGAGTCGCGGCAGCATCTCAGAGTGCTGAGAACGCACCATCAGTCAGTGGGTAACCTACGTTTTGGGCCACCCCCACTGAGGGAGACGGAGAAGTCTGATCAACACGAGGAAGAGACGTAGAAGAGGTGGAAAGCGAGGCGCTGTATATATGTTTTGGTTACTAGAATATGAGAGAGTAAGTAAGGCAATGCATCTTTTCTAGGACGGTAGGGTTATGTCTGTGGGTCGTGTTTGGAGGCATTGGCTCTTGGGAGTGCATGTCGGTACTGATGCGAAAAGAAAGGAAGCTTGTCTCTCTCCTCCGACCACTCTCTCTTTGAAAAGATGCTTTTTGGGACAGTACCCGTAGTTGAGCACTCATCATAGGGTCAACGTCAATATGCCTGGCCCACTTTGGCCTTCGAAGGGGCCCTCGTTCGTGGAATAGGCGCAAAGGTGGATTGCGTCCCCGAAATAATGAGGAGACTCTCGCGCTACGCACTGCAGCGGTGCCTTGCAGAGGTGCTTGTCATAGAGTTTTTTTTCGCAGCCGGCCGCCGCCACTCCCTCTCTGTGTCTCTGTCCAGCTCACCGCTGCGCCGATCCGCCGTCGATATGTCTACGATGCGCTCACGCTGTGAAGCTGCCGGATACTGTACCAGCCGGCCATCGATCGAACTTCAGCAATCCTCCCATCTGTGCGCACAAAATACCTGCAACTCACATACACATACAGAGAGCGACAACAAAGCCAGCAGTGTGTTGGCCTCGCGGCTGAGAAAGGTGTGCTGGTGAAGCGTCGTCTCACTTGCCTCTCCCGCAGTCTATGTGTGCTGTCAGATCGGTTCAGCCGCTCCCCACCTGCACACAGAACACATACAGCAGTGCTATCCACAGCCAGCCAGCCACATGTGCCCTCCGTTCCCCTCGCCCACCCACCTGCCACACTTCCATCTCATCGCTCGTGAAGTTGTTCGACCGCGCCAGTCTGCCGTTGCCGTGCTTATTGATCTCCCCTCTGTATCCATCGTGCAACAGATCTTTCTCGACCCACTGCTGGCATCTGCTGAGGTCGGCGGCCGGATCAGGACGACCATGGCCCAGCCAAAGGTAGCCGCGGCCGATGCAGACATTGGCGGTCGGCATGCCCTCGGTGTCCTTCACCACCCCCTGTGTGCCGGCCACATTCACCTTCTGGTCCTCTGCGAGCAGCTCGATCTTGGTCGGCGCGTCATACGCACCCGACAGCGAAAAGAAGAAGACGGGCGCCTTGTACCAGTTGGCCTGCGTGGGGTCGTCTGGGGGGGTGATCTCGCCGTCGATGAAGGCGCCGAAGCGGTGCGTGTCGCCATCTCGGAGGGCGAAGAGCAGGCCGCTCTTGCCCTCGACGCACTCGAGCATCTTGGGGAACGCATACGTGTCGCGACTGCCCCTAAAAGGATGACACACCACAGACGACAGATGCATGCCTTTTGTGGTCTGCCCTGCCTGTCTTGTGCCAGCATTCGGTCTCACTTGTACAGCAGCGATGGCGCCACGGCGATCTTCTTGTCGGTCATCTTCATCACCGCCAGCCACTCGTCGGCCGTCCTGATCACTGCGGACGCCCCCGCCGCCTCACCGACAGGCGGCACCGTGTCGAGGCCGTACATGCCCAGCTCGACGGCAAAGATGGCCTTCTCGTGCGGCGCCACCACCGGCGGATGGACGAACCGGCCGGGCGGCATGACGACAGTCAGGCGGCGGGCAAAGTCGACGATGAGCTTCCTCATCAGACACGCTCAGCGTCATCACCTGGGTGTCCTCATCGCTGCTGTCCCGATTGACGAACGGCCGCATGGCCACCAGGAAGGCCTCCATGGCCTTCTTCTGCTTGCGAAGCCCCTCGAGCAGGCCCTCGTAGCGCCGCATGCACTGCTCCATCTGCCGAAAGCCTCTCTTTGCCCCGCCCTCCCCGCCACCATTTGCCGCCGTGCCAGTTGACTGTGGCTGATTCCCAATCTCGATGGCACCGCCCAGCGTCTGCATGAACAGCGAGTGGTACTCGGCATAAGAGGGATCGTCGGCCTCCGGTGAGTGCAGGCTGATCTCGTCCAAGTGAGGGCTCTCGAGCAGCGCCAGCTGGTCACGCAGCCATTTGAAGTAGGGCGGGTGCGCCTCGAGGAATGGCAGGTCGTTGGTGTCCTTGGGCAGGGCGTCGATGAAGTGCAGCAGCAGGGTGGAGAGGTACGTCCGCTTCATCTTGGGATGGAGAAGTGCTGACAGGGGAATCGACATGACAGTGCCGCCCACATTGAGCCGAATGCGGTCCTCTGTCTGCAGCGGCTGCAGCGTGCCGCCATTTGCGACGAACAAGTGCTTGATCTGCTCCTCCAGCCGCTCCATCTCGCCCATCGCCTCGGTTGTCGCCGTCTTGGCCATCTCCCTGAGGTCGTCCATGCAGCCCGCAGCCTGCTTCAGCACCAGATCTCCCTCCTCACGACCGCTTGTGAGGCTGTGCAGCTGCGACTCAAGTGGGGCGGCCGAGTCAAACTCATCGACAGGTGACGCAGATCCCAGGGCAGATCCGCTTGGACGATCGTCGCGCCTTCGCTTCCTCGAGCCTCCAGAGGCTGACAGCATCGTGGCTAGCCGCTGAAACATGCCACCCTCTAATCATGCGAGCTCAAATTCAACCTGGCCGAACCTCGCCCTTCTCGATAAGAAAGAAAAAGCGACTCCATCGGTTCAGGTAACATATCTCCGGGAGGAAGAGCCCTCGAAGTGGCTGATCTGACGTTCCCTCCATCCTCTGCGTGTGCTGCTGTGTGATGACGTCACCCACGGTGTGGTGCTGGCTGCAGGCCACCGAGTAAGCAAGAGGATGACGTCGGTTCGGATGTTGCTGGCGGGTTTGTTGGGCGTGTTGGCCGTGGGCCTGCTGGGCCTTCCCCTCACCCACGGCAAGAACCTCTACACCCAGGAGCTCCACGACGACAGTGAGGGATGGATGGGCGCGAGATCTATGGATCTGTGGATCTATGGATGTCGTGGAGGCTCTGTGTGTGGTGTGGATGGATGGATGGATGCAGCGGACATAGAGGTGCCCATGGAGGAGCGCATGGACGCCATCAGTGATATCGATAACAACCCCAGTGCCTTCGTTGAGGCTGGTGCGCAGATAGAAGATGAGCCAATGCCGGCCCACCACCGCCACTCGACATCCGTGCCATTCCGTGGTCTGATGGATGTGTGCATATCTGTCTGTGCGTCTGTGTGTGTGCAGGGTCCTCGGCTGAGCTGTCATCGGGTGCCCATCTGCAGGTGTCGTTGGCCGCCATCCAACATCATCATCGCCATCCGACATCAAGCAGCTGGAGCGAGGCAAGGGCAGCCACAAGGCCGCCATAGCGGTGCACCAGGCTGCCATCGTCACACATCAAGAGGCCCTCAACGCCATGGAGGCCGCCGAGCGAAAGATGAACGCCCTCACCGACCAACCGACCAGCCGCGGTGTGGATGGATCATCGACATGTGTGTGGGTGTGGTGCATCTGTGTGTGTGTGTGTGTGTGTGCGTGTGTGGGTCAGGGAAGTGTGCGTACGGGTGTGACGGCTGGGACTACGAATGCAGGCCGTCACGCGATGGGGATAGTTGTGGCGTCGGCTGCAAGTGCTGGAAGAAAAGCTGCGTTGTGAGTACTGACACACTTTGACGACTGGCAGCAACAGACAGACAGAGAGACAGACAGACGCGAAGGATCTCTCTGTGTGTGTGTGGTCTTCAGGAAGAAGCCGACTACGAGGAGAACGCATGCAAGGAGGTCAAGATCATACACACACACACATGTCATTGTCTGTCTGTCTATGAGTGTGTCTGTGTGTCTGTGTGTGGGTGCAGGAGGAGCAACTGTGTCTGAAAAACAGCGACAAATGCAAAAAGGCCAAAAATGGGGCGAAGTGTGGCACCGGCTGCGCGTGCTGGGACAAAAAGTGCATCGTGAGTACTGACACACTTTCTTTGACGACTGGCAGCAACAGACAGACAGACAGACGCTAAGGATCTCTCTCTCTCTCTCTGTGTGTGTGTGTGTGTGTGTGTGGTCTCTCTGTGCGTGTGTGTGTGGTCTTCAGCATAAATCGATACACCCCAAATACAAGAAGGTCAAGCCACACACACACACATGTCATTGTATGTCTGTCTGTCAATCTGTGTGTCTGTGTGTGGGTGCAGGCTGACTGCCCGTGGATCCATGACTGAGGCGGTGAGAGCGCGTCTGGCGGCCGGCCCGGGCAGGTCGGTGAGAGACCACAAACAAACAAGACAGACAGACAGACCTCTATATATCAGCAGCGGCACATACATACAATACAGCATCAATCCAATCCGGCGTCTGTGCGTCTGTGCGTCTGTGTGTGCAGGTAGATATGTAGCTGTAGCTTACACACCGACGTGGCTAGGGAGGGGGAGAGAGAGGGGAGAGAGCACTTTGCTTTGCTGACAGCATCAGACAGACACCTCACCTGTCCGGCTACACCATTTCTTTTCAGACGGGCGGGCGGGACACACACACACAGAGGGAGAGAGAGAGAGAGTTTGACACACACAGAGGAATTGGACACACAGGATTTTGCAATGTGTGTGTGTGTGTGATTTGGGTGATCCACCGTGTGTCTGGCTGTCTGCCTGTGTGGCTGCGCATCCAAGTGTGTGTCCATTGCGTCGGTGGAATGTCCTCTGATTGATGGACGGACCGATTCTTTGCGTGACGCCCTGTGTTCATCCGTTCAAGCGGTCCATACGGCGCCGACGAGTCAGTAGTTGAAGCGGTCGACAGTCGACCTATGTCTTTCCCAACACAAACCAATCCCCTCGGCCCGCCCACCATCACACACACACACACAATAAAGCGGACGATCGTCCTCCTGCAGTGGTGAGCCTTTTGTCTGATGAAATGCCATTTCTCCTCAACACTCACTCAGTGACGGAACAACAGGCCGGCACCATCATCCCTGAGGCTGGCATGAAATTCGCTGCATCAGGAGCCTTGGCTGGCAACACACATACGCCCTTCCATGGTGCCCTTTCTATGGCTGAGTGCAGCTGCTTCAAGTTGCTGGCAGTGGCTCCACTGCATGAGGTGCGGCAATGATCTGAGCGATGGGGGAGAAAGGGGACCACCCTCGATGAACAAACGATGCGATATAGGTGAGACAGACAGACATGGAATCGATGTGTCTGTCATGTGTGTCCACAGCCACGGACAGGCACATTCAATTTGCACACCACACCCCCCGGGCCACACGGCGAGAGAATGAACGACACTCACAAGGATTCCCTCCAGCCGTACGTGGCCAATGAAACAAACTGGCCATCGTCTGTCCGTCTGTCTGTCTGTCTTTGATGAATGAAGGTCTCTGCCACACACCAATCCGATCCTCCCAAACCGCCAGCACCATCACTCCCTCCCTCCGTGGCCTTCCTGGCCGCCATCTCCCTCCTGCTGCTGCTGCTGGTGCTGTGTGCGGGGCGATGCCGGTCCACCATCGGCCTGGGAGGGTCCACCCTGCTGCATCATGGCCGCCTTCTGCTGAATGGCCTGCTTCATCCCCAGGGCGTAGTAGTGGTACGGGTGCATGGTGGGCGACACGGCAGCTGTCGATCCGCCGTATGCAGCGGCAGCAGCGGCCGCGAAGGGGTGGTGCTGGTACACAGGGGGTGGGCCCGCAGACATCTGATAGACAGACATACAAACATGACAACACGCATAGCATAGCACAGCACAAGTCAGTCAAACTTTGTCCGTCTGCTGATGTGATGAGTCTCACCTGTGCAGCCTGCTGGTCTGTGCCCGCCTCGGGTATCCGATTTGACAGCCCCGATGCCGGCGAAGCAGCCGCAGCCGCAGCCGCAGAAGTCGCCATGCCGGGTGAGTGCCTCGCTGGCTGCCCCTCAGCCATCCCACCTGCCTCCTCCCCCGCCCCACCCAGCTGCTGCTGCTGCTGCTGCACCATGATGTTGAACATGTGCTGCCCACCTGCCAGGAAGGCCGCCATGGCAGGGGTGCTGTCATCCTGCTGCTGCTGCTGCTGCATGGGGGAGTGGGGCTTCATCATCGGAGGCATCACTGGCGGCCTCAGCAGAGGGCGGCCGGCACCTGGCGAGAACGGAAGACCGCCGGCAATGTGGGGACGGGGGGAGGCCGCTGCTGCTGCCGCGGCCTTTTCCTGCGGTGTGGAAGGCCTCTTGCGTGTGGTGCCGTCGTGTGGGGGTGTTTGGGGGGGCATCATGGTGAGGATGCGAGCCTGCTCCATCCGCACCTGGGCCATCTCTTGCTGCGGGCACATTGACAGACAGCCGGGCACATTGACAGACAGACACGTAGACAGACAGACAGACAGACAGAGAGGCGGTGAGAGGCAGGTTTGTTTCGTCTGGTGGTGAGTTGGCCGGGTGCGTGTGTCCAGTACGTACCTGTCTCTGCGCAGCGAGGTGGTCGACGGCTTGTTTGAATGAAGCGCAGTTGTGGTGGAGCCGCTTGAGCACCACACGGTAGTCCTGCACATACATAGCACAGAGAGACCACACCACATCCACCCAAATGGGATGGGTGTGAGAGCGACAGTGTGCATCTCATGGCATCGCATGACATGAGGTCACTCTCACTTACCTCTAGCGTCATTGGGTGAGTGCAGTGCACCGACACCTCATGGCCCTCCTTGGCCACCTGGTGCACGGCCATACACAAACAAACCACATACATCGCAACCGCTTTCCTCCTCCTTGCGGGCTGGGCTTACGTCGCATGAGATGTTGGCCTCTCTCTGCGCGACGGCCATGATGAAGGGGATGGCGTGGCGGTCTTGAGCACCAGGCGCCTTGTCACGATTCCTATTCACCTGATGGATGGATCGATGGATGGATGGATGTGCACACAGCAGTGAGGTGATTCAGTGCATGTGTTGCGTGTGTCTGAGAAAGAGAGAGTGTCTGTGCTCACAGCGACGAGTTGGTCGACGAGTCTGTCGATCTGCATGAGCTCCTGCAGCTTGGCCTTCTTCGTGTTGACCGCCTGCTGCAGCTCCAACGCCTGCAACACGTGCATCATGATATCACGACACCACACACACACACACACACACACAGACACACACACACACACAGACACACAGACACACACAGATAACGCACGCACACGCAGCCACGCTCAGGTGGGTCTCGTGCGCCCCACTTCTTTCTTGATTTCGACGGATGATCGGTCGCCGGGACTCTCGGAGATGCCCTGATGGATGGATGGATGAGCCGAAGAACAGCCATATGGGCCACGGTATACATGCATCGGTGCTGGGTGGGGCGTGGGTGGGGCGTTGGTGTACCTGCCAGACGAGGTATTTGTTGGCCTTCCGCACCACCCCCAGGGCCAACAGCACATTCAACGCATCATACACACGACGACTGATGACACACAGACACACGGCAAAGACACAGCGTCAGGCGGACAATGCAGGTGTGTATGTCCAGTGGCAGCTTCCCTCGGCTGACCGTATGTTCTTCTCCTCCAAAGGCCGGTCCTTTGAACTCTGCGAACCCTGCGCACGGCACACAACACAAGCCAACACGTCAATGTCTGTCACCCAATGAGTCGCCTCCGCTCTCTAGTTGGAATGTTGATCTGTACCTCCTGCAGTTCCATGGCGACGAGTGTATCCGCCACCTGGTTGAACGACGTCACGCCATGCTTCTTGACCTCCTCACACACCTGAGAATGCACCACAACACACCACAACACACCAGCGCCACACAAAGCGGATGATCTGATTTGTTCTCATGTTTTCTTCTCCTCTCACCCGCACACTGAAGTGTTTGAGTCCCTTGATGGCCTTGCGCCCCTCCTGGTCGGTCTCCCTCTCCCTCTCCCTCTCATCCACACGCCTCTTACTGCCGGACGAGGGCGTCAGATGCTGATACGCCACCGGCACGCCGCCAAGCGCAAACGGACTCACCTGTGGGGCCGCAGAGGCAGCAACCTGAGGGATCTGTGGTGCTGCTGATGCCGATGCTGATGTTGATGCGGCACTCGCATTGCTCTGCTGCTGCTGCATGCTTGGATGAGCACTGGTGGGCTGCTGTGGTGGATGAGCGGCGGAGTTGGGCACTCCGCTGGCACCTGGAGGTGCCGAAGCACCTGGCGGTATCATGACTCAGGGGCCGACCGACCGTGAAACGTGAAACGAACGGTTTGGCGTTGGGGAAACGACCGAGCCTCTGCATCTCGAGTCTGCCGTCGAAACCATCCATTCACGCGAAACGAAGCGTGTAGTGTTGGTCGACCGCTAAGCTGCTCACTCGTCCGCACCGTATGGACCGCTTGAACGGATGAACACAGGGCGTCACGCAAAGAATCGGTCCGTCCATCAAAGGACATTCCACCGAGGCAATGGACACACACGTGGATGCGCAGCCACACAGGCAGACAGGCAGACAGCCAGACACACGGTGGATCACCCAAATCACACACACACACACACACACATTGCAAAATCCTGTGTGTCCAATTCCTCTGTGTGTCAAATTCTCTCTCTCTCTCTCTCTGTGTGTGTGTGTGTCCCGCCCGCCCGTCTGAAAAGAAATGGTGTAGCCGGACAGGTGAGGTGTCTGTCTGATGCTGTCAGCAAAAAGTAAAGTGCTCTCTCCCCTCTCTCTCTCTCCCTCTACCTAGCCACGTCGGTGTGTAGGCTACAGCTACATATCTACCTGCACACACAGACGCACAGACGCACAGACGCCGGATTGGATTGATGCTGTATAGTATGTCTGTGCCGCTGCTGATATATAGACAGAGGTCTGTCTGTCTGTCTTGTTTGTTTGTGGTCTCTCACCCACCTGCCCGGGCCGGCCGACGCGCTCGGCGCCTCAGGAATGGTATCAGTAATTGAACTTCTCCTGCACCCACACACAGACACAGACAGACAATGACAGACAGACAGACAGACAATGACAGCTGGACCTGGTCCGTCCAGCTGTCGTACTCGTCTTCAGTCTGAAGACCACACACACACACACACACAGAGAGAGAGAGAGAGATCCTTAGCGTCTGTCTGTCTGTCTGTCTGTCTGTCGCTGCCAGTGATCAAAGTAAGTGTGTCAGTACTTACGATGCATTCCTTGAGCGGCCCTCCTTTGTTCGCTTATCTCCTGCACCCACACACAGACACACTCATTGACAGACAGACAATGACATGTGTGTGTGTGTGTGTGTGTGTGTATGGTCTTGACCTTCTCGTATTCGGGTCCAGGCTGAAGACCACACACACACACAGAGAGAGATCCTTCGCGTCTGTCTGTCTGTCTGTCGCTGCCAGTCGTCAAAGAAAGTGTGTACTCACGATGCACTTCTTGTTCCAGCACTTGCAGCCGGTGCCACAACTCTTCCCATTTTTGGCCTTCTTTTTGCATTTGTCGTCGTTTTCCGAACACTGCTTACGGGCGAGTTCCTGCCAGCCAGTCAACCAATCACACACAGCCACGGGAATCTGTCTTCGTGTGTCTCCCTTGTATTTGCGTGTTACCTTTTCCAAGTATTTTTGGTATTTTAACTTCTCATCACCCATGCCCACCGACGTCGCCTCTGCACGCACACAAACACACACAGATACAGACAGATACACCGCACCCACACGTCGATGATCATTGGTCGTTGGGTTACTTTTGAGTTTTTCGCTCTTAGGTGGGTCGGTGAGGGCGTTGATTTTTTGCTCGGCGGCCTCCATGGCGTTGAGGGCCTCTTGATGTGTGACGATGGCAGCCTGGTGCACCGCTATGGCGGCCTTGTGGCTGGCCGTGCCTCGCTCCAGCTGCTGCTGGATGGCGGCCAACGACACCTGCAGATGGGTACCCGATGACAGCTCAGCCGAGGACCCTGCACACACACAGACGCACAGACAGATATGCACACATCCATCAGACCACGGAATGGCACGGATGTCGAGGAGCGGTGGTGGGCCGGCATTGGCTCATCTTCTATCTACGCACCAGCCTCAACGAAGGCACTGGGGTTGTTATTGATGTCATTGATGGCGTCCATGCGCTCCTCCATGGGCACCTCTATGTCCGCTGCAGCCATCCATCCATCCACACCACACACAGAGCCTCCACGACGTCCATAGATCCATAGATCTATCTAGCCATCCCTCCCTCACTGTCGTCGTGGAACTCCTGGGTGTAGAGATTCTTGCCGTGGGTGAGGGGAAGGCCCAGCAGGCCCACGGCCAACACGCCCAACAAACCCGCCAGCAACATCCGAACCGACGTCATCCTCCCGCTTACTCGGTGGCTTGCAGCCAGCACCACACCGTGGCTGACGTCATCACACAGCAGCACAAACAGGGGGTGGAGGGAACGTCAGATCAGCCACTCCGAGGGCTATTCCTGCCCTAGATATATTACCTGAACCGATGGAGTCGCTTTTTCTTTCTTTTCGAAAAAAGGGCCAAAGTTCGGCCAGGTTGCAGGGGCGCCCTAACATCCGCTCGTGAAACGAAGGGTGAATCGGTACCTACACCGATGTCGGCCGCAGCCGCAGCGCCAGCTGGTTCGAAGAAGCGAAAAACCACCGTCGGCGAAGCGGCCGATGATGAGTCAGTCGTCCCCTCCCGGCTGCATGGCGTGACCAGCGGTCGTGAGGAGGTCGATGCGGTGGTGGAGCAGGCGGCAGGATGCATGGATGGCCTTCGTGGCGTGTTCAAGACGGCAGTAGCTGCGGCAGAGGGCGAAATCGAGCAGCTAGCGGCGGAGATCAACCAGCTCTTCATCGCAAATGGCGGCACGGTGGAGCCGCACAAGACCAGCGGCAAGCTCAAGCTCAACGTGGGCGGCACGGTCTTCTTCATCTCAGTCCAGCGACTGCTTCAGCCCAAGATGAAGCTGACGTACCTCTCCACCTTGCTGCTGCACTTCATCGACGCCCTGCCCAAGGACACCAACAATCTGCCCTTCCTCGAGGCGCATCCGCCCTACTTCCACTGGCTGCGCGACCAGCTGGCGCTGCTCGAGAGCCCTCACCTCGACGAGATCAGCCTGCACTCACCGGAGGCCGACGATCCCTCATACTCGGAGTACCATTCGCTGTTCATGCAGAAGGTGGTCGGTGACATCGAGATGGAGGAGCAGCCGCGGGCGCCCGGCTCGTCGGCAGCAGCATCGGCAAATGGTGGCGGGGGAGGCGAGCAGCGGGATGTAGAGATGGCCGACGGGAGCGGCCAAGAGGGGCAGAGGGAGGGGGCGGACGGTGATGGCGGGGTGAAGAGGGTGTTTCGGCAGATAGATCGGCACATGCGGCGCTACGAGAGTCTGCTCGAGGGCCTGCAGAAGCAGAAGAAGGCCATGGAGGCCTTCCTGGCGGCGATGCGGCCGTTTGTCAATCGGGACAGCAGCGGTGAGGATCTCGAGGTGATGACGCTGAGCGTGTCTGATGAGGAAGTGTCGGTCCTCCGCCGCACCATTGTCCTCCTCGGCCAAGACCATGTGCTTGTGACGCGGTTCGACCGCGCGTCAGTCCTGCAGCTCATCGTCGACTTTGCCCGCCGCCTGACTGTCGTCATGCCGCCCGGCCAGTTCGTGCATCCGCCGGTGGTGGCGCCGCACGAGAAGGCCATCTTTGCCGTCGAGTTGGACATGTACGGCCTCGACACGGTGCCGCCTGTCGGTGAGGCGGCGGGGGCGTCCGCTGTGATCAAGACGGCCGACGAGTGGCTGGCGGTGATGGAGATGACAGACAAGAAGATCGCAACGGCGCCATCGCTGCTGTACAAGTGAGACCAAATGCTGACACAAGACAGGCAGAGCAGACCACAAGAGGCATGCATCTGTCGTCTGTGGTGTGTCATCTCTGTTAGGGGCAGTCGCGACACGTATGCGTTCCCCAAGATGCTCGAGTGCGTGGCCGGCAAGAGCGGCCTGCTCTTCGCCCTCAAAGAGGGCCACACACACCGATTCGGCACCTTCATCGACGGCCCCATTACACCGCCTGCTGAGCCCACAGAGAACAACGGCTACTATGTGCCCGTCTTCTTCTTTTCGCTGTCCGGCGCGTACGATACGCCGACGAAGATCGAGATACCCGAGGAGAAGCAGAAGGTGACGGTGGCCGGCACACAGGGGGTGGTGAAGAACGACAGGGACGAGCCGCGTGCCAACGTGGCCATCGCTCGCGGGTGCCTATGGCTGGGATGCGCCAAGCCAGGTCCGGCGGCCGACATCAGCAGCTGCGTGCAGTGGATCGAGGGAGACTGCCTGCCCGCGGGGTATGAGGGCGACATGGATGATGATGGCGATGGTTTCCTCGGTCAGTCGCTGGACTTGACAGCGAGCGAGATCGAAATATGGCACATTCAACAGGTGGCGCGGGGCGGGGAGGGGCGGGGAGGGAATACGACACACTCATGGCTTTGCTGCACGGCGCGTTTGCTCACCCGTGTGTGTGTGTCTGTGTGTGTGAGTAGGTGCAAGGCGGCTGGGCGGGCGGGCTGATGGCAGCCCGTCACGTAGAAGACGGCAGCTGGAGCAGATAAGATAGATCATGTGATGTGTGCGGAGCGGAGGAGGGAGGCGAGGCGGCTGCCGGCTTGGTGGGTATCGATAGACATCCATGCGATGCGTGTATCGGTCGGTGTGCACAAGTATGATTGATAATTCAAAGCCATGATGCACGAACGAAAAGATGGATGTGCACACTGCTTGACTGACTGATTGTCTATCTCAAGCCTTCATGTGACGTGACGACACACAACCGGCCTGTGCACCGCACCTCAGCACATCTGACTCACAGCACCTAGCAGCCTGTTGGTGACTTAAGACTGGTTGATGGTGTGGGTGTGGGCGGTGTGTGTGGGTGTAGAGGTCTTCATTCAGAGAGAAGCTTTCACCGAAATTGACATACATCGCCTGTCCATCGTCCATCCATCCATCCATCCAGCCACCGATGAGCCCCGCCCGGCCGTCCCGTCCTTAATTTGCACAGAGCGAGAATCAGTGGATGGATGAATGTGCCATCGGATGGTTCATCAGTAGAATGTTACTGACAGTCTCGAACACAAACCAAGCACAGGGCAACACACATGGACACGCCACACACGCCACATCAAGGCTATATGAACAGGCCAGCAGCACAGCAGCAGCGCAGCAGCAGCAGCCAATCGGACATCAATGAAGAAGCCGCACGCCATATGATACACACATCATGAGTGCCTGGCTCTCCCGCTGACTGTCTAGCTGCCAGCTCCATTTTCCGCTATCTATCTGTGCCCACACTCCTGGCCACCACCGGACCTTACCGATACTCACGGGGGCCATGATAAACATTCCCCAGTCGCCCCACTCGACGACGACCGGTGACCACCCGAGCCTCCCCATGGCTTGTGTTCCCAGGATGTTGATGTGCTCAAAGTCGCCGAACGACGGCGCACACTCGATCAGGTGCTCCTTGCCCAGGTGATCCTCAATCCGCACCGTCAAGTTCGACGGGAGGGCATCGCTGTCGATGGGTTTCTCGAGAAGCGCAGCCATGGCCTTCTTGCTGAGATAAGACCACACGGCGGTCGTGTCAATGACGAAGAGCACGTTGATCGGCTTCCCGAATCCCCCCTTAAGGGGATCCCAGCGACACACGAGGTTGACGCACAGGCGATAGGTGTCCACGTGCAGGACGCCCTCGGGTGGGTAGCTGTGCTGTCGTTCAGATGGCGCCACAGAGAGATACTCAGCACCGAGGTCCCTGGATATCGCCTCCATCTCCTTCTCTGCCATGTCAGGCAGCTTCACCGCATACTCGTGAGGATGACGCGCCTTGCCCTCCGGAGGGCCATCGAAAGATGTAACCTTCTCCTCTCGATGAAGCACTTGTCCGGTTGGCGGCTTCACATCGGCGGCGGCGGAAGACAATGCACTGCTGCTCGTGAGGGGCTCACGAGCAGCCACCTGCAGACCCTCCCCATCCCAGCCCGCCCAAACTCCTGGACGCCACCGACGCCTTCCGATACTCACGGGGGCCATGACAAACGAGCCTCTCCCCCAGTCCACGAGCGGTGACCACCCGAGCTTCGCCATTGCGTTTGTTCCCAGGATGTTGATGTGCTCCCAGTCGCCGAACGACTGCGCACACTCGATCGGTAGATGATCAATCCCCATGAAAAAACACGGCGCGGTGTTATCAAGGTCTGGGTGCAGAAGCACTCTGGCCTCCTTGGTGAGGTAAGACCACACGGCGGTCGTGTCAACGACGAAGAGCACGTTGATTGGGCTATCCCGAAAGTGACACACGAGGTTGACGCACAGGCGATGGGTTCCCTGGTGCAGGACGCCCTTGGGCGGATAGCTGTGCTGTCGTGTAGATGGCGCCACAGAGAGATACTCAGCACCAAGGCGCCTGGAAGTCTCCTTCATGTCCTCCTCTGTCACGTCAGGCAGCTTCACCGCATACTCGAAATGATACCGCGCCTTGCCCACTGGAGTCTCATGCAGGTGGCGTGGGGAGGGTCTGCAGGTCGTGGGGAGGGTCTGCAGGTGGCTGCCGGCGAGTCGCCTCAGGGCAAGAGGACGCACTCGTCGGGCAAAGGAAACATCTGCACGCACCACACTTCAGAGAACGCCATCAGCAACGAGCCGCGCCTGCCGGCTGTCGTGATCAATTGGTGGAATGTGTGTGTGTGCTCACCCTGGTCAAGACCTTGGTCAGCGGCGCTCCTTGCACCTGCGATCTTAGCCCAGCGATCCTCGTTTTGCCGAGAGAATGCGCAAAACGAGAGGCATGATGGCCATCGGATGACTCGCCATGCTCGTGTTGGCCCTGCTGACCCATTGCTTTGCCGCCGCGATGGGCCGGGATGATTTATCGTTCATCGCTCTGGCGCCTCGGATTCGCAGATCTGCTGCTTGGCACACGAGGAGAAGGAGAGGAAAGGTACACACACTGCACACAGACACCGTGGACGGAAACAGAGAGAGAGAGATCGATGTGCGCACATACTTCTTCGTGCGTCACGTCAGGCCAACCGTGTGTGTGAGGGTGTGAGGATGATGGTGAATGTGGAGGGCAGCCTCAAGAAGGACAAGAGGCTCGACCTCCAGTTCTACGATCAGGCCGACGTACGTACGTACGCATCCAACGGGCATGTCACGACCCCCGTGTGCGCGCGTGTGTGTGTCAGGTGTACGTCCGCGGCGGGTCTGGAGGGCCTGGTGCGGTGACATTCAAACCACTGAGGGGGCGAGGACAGGTATGGTGTGTGGGCAGGGGGGCTCACACAACACATGATTGATTCAGTGTCTGTCTGTCTGTGCGTGTGTGTGTGTGTGTCTGTCTGTGTGAGCAGGGTCCGCCCAACGGTGGCAGTGGCGGCAGAGGGGGCAGCGTGTACCTCCTCTGCGACAACAAGATGAACACGCTGCAGGCACACACACCACACACCTATACACCCAAACATGTGGATGCGTTTATGAGTCTATTTGTTCACACACAGGGTCTGCGTGGCCGAGCGTCGTTTCGCGCCAGCCACGGGGAGGCCGGCGGCTTTGGCTTCAAGACCGGCAAAAACGCCCCTGACGTCATTATACGGTGCGACTGGCTGTCTCGACGTATGTGTGTGCCTACCTGTCTGCATGAATATCTCTCTGTGTGTGCGCGTGTGTGTCAGGGTGCCGCCAGGGACTGTCGTGAAGGACCCAGGAACGGACGAAACGCTCGGTAGGTACAGGTGCCTTCACACACACAGAGGGACACAGAGGCATGTGTCGTGTGTGCGTGTGTACGTCTGTTGTATGTTCCTGCCTGCAGCGACTCTGTCGCTGTCTGGCGACAAGTGGCTGGCGGCCAGGGGCGGCAACGCGGGCGTCGGCAACGGACCCCCAAACGCCAAAGCCAGCCAAGTGAGCACACACAACACACACACACAGGACGATATGCGCACGTATGTGTGTGCATCTCTCTCGGACAGGGTCGTGTGGCTTTCACCGGTCGGAGCGCTCCTCCTCAGGCGGGCGAGAAGAGGTGGATCAGACTAGAGGTGAGCAGAGGTGAAGTGAGGTGGGGTAGCGATGCCATACCCTGCCATCTGAGCCATTGCTCTCTCTTCCGATCTCTCTCTGTGGGTGCGTGTGTGTGTGTGTCAGTTGAGTCTGTTGGCTGACATCGGTCTGGCGGGCATCCCCAACGCCGGCAAGTCGACCCTCCTGTCGACGGTGACCAACGCGCGGCCGAAGATAGCCAACTACCCCTTCACCACACTCGTGCCAAAGTACGACCACCTGCACACACGCACGTACACACAATGGGGTGTGTGTGTGTGTGTGCAGCCTTGGTGTGTGGGAGCCGAGCCAGTCCATTCTGGTGCACAACACAAAGCGGAAGGAACGTGCTCACGATGACGATCGCGATCGTGCACAGGTGCGTGCCCCGTGTGTTTGTGTTTGTGTTTGTGTGTCCATGTATGTATGAGTGTGGGGACGGCGTGTGTTGATCAGGAGAAGGACAGTGACAGTGACAGTGGCAATGGTGTGGATGGTGATGGTGATGGTGGTGTGTTGGGCCTCAAGCACAGCCTCAGCGTACAGAAGAGGAAAAAGGGTAGGTACACACCGAACAGACAGGCAGACAGACAGACAGACAGAGAGAGAGACCACACACTCATCCACCCATCCCTCACGTGCCTTTAGGTGCGTCGAGCAAAGGCTTGGTGCTACTCGACATCCCCGGGCTGGTAGAGGGCGCCCACAAGGTGCCCGCCTACCTGAAACACACACACATCCGTCCATCCACGCAGCCACACATCTCTCTCTGTGTGTGAGTGGTTAGGGTGTCGGTTTGGGATTGGCCTTCCTCCGCCACGTCGAGCGGTGCCGGGTCATCTTTCACATCGTCAGCGGCGCTTCCGTCGATCCCGTTGGTATACATACATCCTAACAGACAGACAGACAGACAGACGTGGTTGGATGGATGGATGGATGGATGTGTGGATGTGTGGATGGATGTGTGGATGTGTGGATGTGTGGATGTGTGGATGGATGCAGGCGACTTCAGGGCGTTGAACGACGAGCTGCTTTTGTTCAACCCCAGGCTGCTCGAGAAGCCGCACGTGGTGGTCCTCAACAAGATCGACCTTCCTGAGGTAGATTGATAAGCCGTCCGCGAACCACTCATCCACACACACGTATGTATGTGTGCAGGTGCGCGCCCGGCTGCCCGAGTTGCGTGAGCGCCTGCTCGAGGCCATGGGTGAGAGGCCATCCACACACACACACACACACAGTACATGTGTCTCCGTGTGTGTGTATCCCGATCTGTGCAGGGCACGAGCGTCTTGTGTGCATCAGTGCGGCCACGGGCGAAGGCGTGGAGGAGCTCATGCAGCGCACCAGAAACGTACGTACGAACGCACTCCACCCACGCCACGCACAATTCCCACATCCATTCATCCATCCATTGGTCCGTCTGCAGCTGGTTGACAAGCGCGAGCGCATGGAGGACGAGAGGCTCCTGACGGCCCTGGCAGACGACGAGGGAGGAGACGACACACGCGATGTGTGTGGGCACCCACTCATACACTCATCCACACGCACACACACGTGTGTTTCTGCCGGCATATGTGCGCGTGCAGGCGGCTGGCGCAGAAGGTGAGGATGCCACCACGAGCACCAGCAGCAGCAGCAGCAGCAGCAGCGGCAGACCAGACGGCTACTGGATCGAGAACATTTCGCTCGGCAAGTGGCGCATCGGCGGCGACAAAGTCACGAAGGCCGCTAGGCACGCGACAGACGATGCACCCACCACCCACACCGCACCCACACACATCCTCTCCACGTGCAGAGGTGCACTCGTCTCTCCCTCCCTCTCTGTGTGCGTGCAGCCTGAGCGATTGGACCTACTACAGCGCCGAGGAGCGGTTCTGCCGAGTGCTCGACGCAATCGGTGCGCACACACACGTACTGACTTCCCCACACCCATGTGGTGCGTGTGTCTGGACCAGGTTTTCTGGCTGCGTTGGAGGGGAGAGGAGCGCGAGAGGGCGACGAGATAGAGATTGCGGGCGCCAGCAAGAGGATCAGACTCATGTTCCCAACCACAGTTGTCGGCACATGAATGAATGAACCAACATTCATGAACCAGACACACTTGCACACTTGGAGGAGGCACATACGGACCATACACATGCATGCATGAGCTTTGGCGAGAAGGCTGGCCGGAACCCCTGCAGACCCAACCCCGTGTGTGGCGCATGGGCCTGCCGTTGCAAAGCACTCAGTCGAATTCAGAAGCGTCCAGGATGGCACCGGCGTTCACTTTACTGACCCCATCAGGTGTTACGGAGGCTGTTCAGCCTCCACCTTGTAGTGGCCTCCACCTTAATTGTACGTGTGTGTCGGTGGTTATCATCATCATCACACGGGAGACGGTGCAGCCAGGAAAGATTGGCCCGGAAGCGATGATTGGCTGAAATTCCCGGTCGAGATCGGCCACTGGTCGACAAACACTCCCTCGCCCCGCCCCTTGTTATCTGACGATGAAGTTCGTCACAGCGCTGCTCGTCGCCCTCGTGGCCCTCGTGGCCGTCAGCCACGCGTTCGTCCCCTCCACCCCGAGCGGCAACAGCCTGCTGCTCTCCAGGGGCCGCCCAAGCCGCGCCATGCAGCGGCAGCAGACGCCCAGCATGGTGCTCGATGGCGCTGGTACGCCCGGATCTACGCACACGCGGACATGTTGGTGTGTCGACTGACTTGTCGACCGTTCTCTCTTTCCGTTGTGTGTGGTTGGTGTGTGCAGGTCTTGCTGACGTTGACTTCGGCAAGGCGCTTGAGATCGCTGCGGCCAACAGCAACATGCTGGCTGAGTACAACTCGCTCAACGGCTTCCTCAACGCGGCCGCGTTCGGATCCCTGTGAGCGCTCTCCCTCACACACACACACACACACGCATACACATACACAAGACAGAGCAGACAGTCTGTGTTGAGCGGAAACAATCACACTCTCACGACCTCTATCTCTCTCTGTGTGTGTGTTGGTTGGTGTCACGTCACAGGTTCGTGATTGTGCCCGCTGCTGCGGTTCTTCTGTGGATCTCGAACAAGGACAGGCTGGAGCGCCAGTTGTGATTGATCCAGGATGCATCCATCCATCGCTGGCGATTTGTGTACACCGACCGCCCGACCTGTTGCCTGACCGATGCGATGTGTTTATACGTGCGTGATGGCTGGCTGGCTGATGAGTGCAGTGCGTTGGTTGGTGCTTGTAGGGAGGTGGTTGGTGATTTTTCTTTCCTGCCCTGCATACGAAACGAGACGACCGACAGCAGGGAGGGAGGGAGCGAGGGATGGACAGATGGATTGGATGAAAGGAGTGCAGTGAGTGGATGGCGTGGCCATGGGCTGGTTGACTGATTGACTTGATCGATCATGTATGTTTATTGTGCGGGACGGGACACCCACCGTGTGTGTAATCTTCAGTGCACAGATACGTACGGATTGACAAAACACACACGTGGTGTGTTGGCAAATGAATATTAACGTCCGCGGCACACCCACCCACACCACAGACACACTCGCACCCGCACCAACACACATACGCATGCAGATGTAGACACACGGAGTAATGAATAAGCACAGAGGGCAGGGCGGGGGGCCCGATAGATCATTTCTTCTTCTTCTTGGCCTTTTTCTTTCCACCTGACACACACAACGTAACATACACACGGCCGGGCACTCATCGCAGATCGATCCTCATACACACCGTACGGACATGTACGTATGTTTTGTGTCTGTCTGTCTGTCTGTCTGGACCGAATGCGATGTCTTCAGCCAGTCTCTTGAGGAACTGCCTGCCAGCACTTTGAATGGTGGTGATGGCCGCCAGCTCGCGGTCCTCCTGCTTCGTCTTCTCCTCGGCCACAAACGCCTGGTCAGTCAGGTCACGCACACATGTCATTCAAAGGCCAACGTCTCAATGCAGGCCGGCAGGCAGCTAGGGCTGTGTTGGTTCATACGTACTTCGAGGGCGGCCTGGTCCTCCTTGGCTTTGCGCTCGGCCTCCTCGACTTTCATGCTACACAGAGAGAGAGACACGCGGATATCCACCCATCCCATCCATATGATGTGTCCATTGATTTGATGCGTGTGTGGGTCTGTGTTGGTGCCGACCGTTCCAGCAGGTCGGCAAGCGCTTCAGCGGTGGCCTCTGAGAGCCGTGCAGTGCACATACAAAGTGCTGATGTGTATGTCTGCTGGCATTCACCCAGCCATGGCACCCATGGCACCTTTGTCCTCTTGCACACGAGCGATAAGGTCCTCCTGTCCATTTCATGGGGCACATCACATGCACACACACACATGTGCTCACAGACGAGTGAGGGCGTTGCATATCACATCTGCCTTACCTGTTCCTTGATGTCTTTCGCGAACACTTCCTGCCAATGATGGCGGTCCTCTGGAAGGGAATGCGTGTGTGTGCGTGTGTGTGTGTGTAGGCCTGCGTGGCGTGGCGTGCCTTGGAGGGTTTGACTCTTGAAGTCGAGGTAGGCGATTGCCGTGTTGTGAGACGCTGACTCACGCGCCTGAACATACACATACACATGCAATGCATTGCGCAATGCACACGTCCATCCAGACACACGTATGTGTGTGTGTGTGTCAAGCGCACCTGTGCCACTTTGGTTCGTTCCAAGGTCTCCTGCAGACCTTTGATCGTCTAGGACACCCATGATGAACAGAACACACATTCAGCGAGAGAGAGAGAGACACAGAGAGAGACACAGAGAGAGACACAGAGAGAGAGATGGGTGGGCGTGGCGTCATGGAGATGTACCTGGTTCCACATCCGCAGGGCGGCCTGCTCCCTGCACACACACACACACACACACACACACACAAAAGGTGTACAGATGAGCATCCATGTGTCTGTGCGTCTGTCTGCCTCACTGAGCGTCCAGCTGCTTCTCTTCAAAGCTCAGGACGATGGCTGACTGCGTCTGCAGTGGGGACACACGCCCACAAAGATGCACGTGAGTGCAACACCCTGTGAGTGCATCTGCGTTGACCCCGCTACCTTGACTTTGTTTAGCTCCTCCTTCAGAGTGTTCATCTCAATCGTGCCGGCGTTGGTCTGACACACACACACACACACACCACACACAGAAAATGCGTATGTGTCCCTCTGCGTGGCTGTCGGTCCGCCCACCTCCTTCTCGTACTCGGTCTGCTCCTTCTTGAGCTCTTCTTCAAGCGCAGCCACGGCATGGGCCGCCTCACTGACGGACGATGGATGGATGGATGTGTGTGTGTGTGTGGGTGTGTGGGTGAGCGGACCGTTCTCTCTTTCTGACTTCATTGAGCATCTCCTGCTGCTTCCGCTCCGTCTCCACCTTTAGGTATTTAGAACACACACACGCATACCCATTGGAGAGACACACCCGTGCCGCGCCCGTGTGAGTCCTTAGCGACCTTGTGGACGAGCGAGGTGAAGCTGCATTCCTCCATGATGTCTCGCTTGGTCTCCTCCAGCCACTCCACCACCCGATGACGCTCAGACAACAGCTTGGCCACGTTGCCTGCATCCACACCTCACTGTCTGTGTCTGTGTCTGTGTCTGTGTCACACAGCGAGCAATCTAATACATATATACATATGTACCGGCAGCAGTGGGGTTCTCCTTCAGTGAGCGGCACAGCGCTTTGTTGGACTCGCGCAGCTGCTGAGACACGCTCTGAGGGGGGGGGGGGGAGAAAGACCCG